GAAGTCATTTTACATTTAGAGATTTAAGGGGAGGATGGGACAGTACTAGAGATAATGTCTCTGAAGTCTTCATCTTAGTAAGTTTAAAAAGCAAATATAAACTGAGTTGAGTGATTGCTCAAAGTGTATACACCTGAAATACTTCACTAGAGAAAATTTATTGTCCTCTCTCCTCTCAACACCTGGTCTAATCACTTCTTGTGGAATTATTCAAAGCTGCTCCTTCATACTTCAGTATTACCATATTCTTCGTATTTGTATGCTCCAAGGAACAAAGGTCCTAACAGAAAGGCTGATTGTAAAGCTGACCTCGTCACGGTGGACTAATTTAACAGACAAGAACAGGGAAGTAGAAGACCAACTAATAAAAACAAACGAGAGAATATTGATTTCAACTCAGAAGCATGGGGTTTAATTTAAAAGACAGCTCTTCAGAAAATCTTTTGTTGTCAAACAAATTCCGAATCTTGTCTTATCCTTCCAGTCATTCAATTAGAAAGAAACTGAGGTGAGATGCTTTTGGCTTTCTCACAAACACCAGGGCAGAGGATACATGGCAGGCCTGGATTTCACTATTGTCACAGACTATCACTTTTAATTGCTATTATGTGGAGAAAAAAGAGACACTTTTTCTACTCATCCATTTTATTTTTTGCTTTACGTTCGTGAAAAACAGAAGTCTGAATCCAACTAAAATCTCCCTTTAACATGGAGGTACAAGGTTAAAGTCTTTCCCTTTGCAAAGTCAAATGTCTTATACTTTCCCTTTGTTTGCTGAGTTAATATACTACTTGGAATATAAATGAAAGTGCACATTACACTTGATTGATTCAGCCTGAAAGCTCTGAATTTGAGAGTCTTTTGTGTAGAAGGTTTAGGTCAGGTCCATTATCTGTTTACTAGGCCTCAAAAGATAATTGCTCTCAATAATATCATAAGCTCATAATAGGAAATGCAAAAAAAATTATAGTTTTAAAGTAGATATATTTCAGCTAACATATAAAATTCTTTTTTACCTAGTGATATAGCATGGGTGCGTTAAGAATGAATACATATTCAAATTAACTCAAGCAAATTATTACCAATTGAAGCAAGTCTTATCAAGAGGCAAATACTTATGATTTTTAAGTAAATGATTATTCATCATGGCCACATGGTAGCCATGTTGATTTTTATGGTTTAACCTCTAAAATGTTCACTGAATATTCAAAAGTTAAAGACTGGTTGACATCCGGTCACGGTGAGATTTATTACTTCTTTATGTACTGATTCTTGGATGAGTATGGAGGTGAAAGGGCAATTGGGAGATGGAGCCGGCTGGAAGACATAGGCTACCACAGGGTTAACGCTGAGGGGTCTGTTTTGACCCCAGACACTTTCTTTTGATGGTGCTGTATCCCATTTGCAGTGAGCAGCTCTGCTACCAGCACAGCATCTCTTCTCTGACTCATGATCTCATGCTCAAAGCAATGGAACTAGCCAGTCAGGAACTGAAACTTTGGCTAATGAGCCAGCATACTTAGTTCTCTTAAACTGTTTTTGTTCATTTATTTTATTTTTTTTAAAGTTCTCGGGAATTTTTTTTCATAGCAATAGAAAACTCAGGTAGTGGTGTTCAGGTAAAAGTATGAACTATTATCTCCACCTATATTTTAATATATCAGGTAAATTCTTGCTATTTTCTGAGAGAACATAAATATGCTATGCTAAGCTGTAATAGCTTTGTGAAAATTCCATTGTGTCAGAAATGCAGACATAGTCCTTACTAAATCATCCAGTCTGTCACCCTGAAACAAAAGCCCATTTACAAAATGTCATTATTCTTAAAATGAAAGAAATCCAGGAGGGTTTCATCTTAATTCCTATGGATATTGCTTAAATAGAAAACTTTCATGCTATTAATTTACAATTCATACAGATCTCTTGTTACCTGTAACTTTGAAGTCTTGTCAGCACAGCTACCTAATTTACATGGAGACCCCAGAGTCAGTGTCTCTTTGTAGTGTTATATGTGAAATGGCTGCAATACTACTTTAAAGTACATATGAGGGTAACAGTCAATCATGGTGACTTCAGATTTTGTGCTATACTGTGCCCAAATTTTTCATCTATGGATGTGAAATTATAAATTATATCTGCCTTTGATATCTTCATTTTAGATTTATCACAGGTAAGAATAAAGCTGTTTATAGTTAATGTGTGATATTCTTATAAAGGAGGAAGGATTTAGCAGGAATGTATGTGCCTGTCTCTGTATGTGTCTCTGTGTATCAGGAAATATTGTCAGGAAGACTATATACACAGGGAAGGTGTACATGTAGGGAGGTAGGCATACAGGGAGAACATACATTCAGGAGGTGGGGTGTACATTCAAGGAGAGCATACATAGGGGAATGTTGTGTATATAGGAGGGTTGTCTCTGAGAATCAAAAGCATGATGGATACTGAGGGCAATTTAAACCAAACTGAAATATTATTATCTTGTTTATCATTTATTCAGTAATCATATGGCATTTAAATCTCTGTGTTTTGGTGCAGGCGCCTGTACACTCCTTGGTACCATGCTTCAATGATGTGTATACCTTTCCCCTAATCCAGCAACATATGAAACCTTTTTATGATGCTGCAAGTTATACTCTTTTATTATGTCGAATCTTCTGAGATTAAGAGGCTCAGAAATTTCTGCAAATAAGGGTATCATTAATTAGGTTCTTATAAATTTAGGTGATGAGGCAGTCTTTCATAAAATTCATGAGTCAAGGTAACTGAGAGTCAGTTGTCTATATTAAGTAGATAAGGAGAATAAACACAAGATTAGGCACCTATGTTTAAGAGAAACAAATGTTTTAAAAAGAGAGCCAGAGGGACATTCATGTACACATCTATACCGGCGTGCCCACAAGTCTTACGTCCAACTCATACTCTCATACACAAAGCAGTAGTGAGGGGGAGAGTGGAACCAGAGAGGGTGCAAAATAGATGTCTCCTAAGACTGAAAACATTGCCTTCTAAGGTGCACTTCCTTCCATGCACTCAAATTAACTTACTTTGTATCATGCTACCAATAAAAAAAAAAAAAAAAAAATCAAGAAAAAGATGGATATCCAACCATGTCAAAATATTGAAAATCCCAGTTAATAGGTATAATTTTGTAATTTTATAAAGCTAAGACTTTGTTTGAAACATCAGAGAAGTAAAAAATTGAGAGGAAGTTTACATTCCAAGAGATCATCAAAGCTGCCACTGCTCCTTAGAACTCCTCTTATGAATGCTGAGTGACTATGGGGAAGATCTGCAGGGATGTGGGGGATTTTAATTAAACATGCAACATCCTGAACTCTATCTCAACATTGTGCTGTCTCAAATGATAATCAGTAGGCATGGAAAGGTTTAAAGATTGTTGAATCCTTTACATCTGGCTAATCCCCAGAGACTGAGGCTGTGTATCAATCAGCAGCTGGAATGTTAGTGCCCAAGGACCTGGACCAGTGTTCCTCAATTTGTCTGGGTTCCACGTCAGTTTAAAACACAGTTATTTATCACTTCCCCTCCTCTGACCATGCAGTACCCTGTACTTTCAGTAAGTAAATGTGGTTCCAGAACTTTTAAATCTTCATGTGTGTCCTTAGTACATACTTCCTTTTCTTGATCTGCCCAAGAAGTCCTAAAGACACAGGGGGATCAGGAAGGTGGGCAGTCATAGGAATCATGGGGGACAGAGGGATGAGTATGGTGTGTGGGGTCAATGCAGACCAGCTGATGGTCACTAAGGATCCAGCTAACCTTTTTAGTGAAATTTCCTTACTGGTATAGAACAGAGTCTTCACTCCTGGGTAGCCAATCCTATTATCATTGTTAGTAAACTAAAGGGTTAACTTAATTGCATTATTATGGACTAAGAAAATTTTAAATATGCAGAAGCACACATATGCAATCGATTTGAATTCTAAGACCATCATTCACATTTTAATCACTAAAAACAGAGACTTGGAGAGTTTACTGTAAATATTGAGAGTCAGAGAGATTTAATTCAACCCAGCCTGGGCTCAGGGTCTCACACAGGCCCACAGCACTCAGTTACACCTCAATATATAAGACAAGTGTCCGTGGAGTCTAATCAAATGGGAGACAAGTCAAGGGAATGTCTTACTATTTTAGTACTTTCCTTTTAATTTTAAAAAATATAGACAAGTATTGGTGGTTATAAAATAGTTTAAAATATTATATTAATATATGATAAGGTTGCAAATTATTTTAGAGGAGATTGTGATAAAACTGTCTATTAAAATTTTCCTCATTTGCAGTATCACTTATGCAGTCAGTTTTCTTCCTTTTGTTATTATTTAAATATTATGTAATTATTGACTTTGGTAATTGTAGTATTGTGATAATGACTACAGCCCCTTAGCCCCTTCTAACTAATTAACTAACTAACTAACTAACTAACTAACTAACTAACTATATAAATATATATAAACACTAACATTTTACATATATTGTATATATACTAGCATTATATATTATATGTATTATGTCTATACACAAATATTGATTTTTTTGGACCAGTTAAATCTAATTCTGGATCCTCCAAGATAATAATTTAGTTGACTTTTGTTATAACCTTTGCTGAGTAATTCCAACACTGACATTTTCATCTCATTCTTCTTTCACAAAACATTCCCTGAAATGGTACCCTTAGCTGTTTGGCCACCTTTACTCATATTTTCTTATACAACCCAACCTACTTTTTCTCTGATTAAAAGGGAGATGTAGCTTTCTTTTTATATACATTAACAAGACTTTTAATAATATTTTTGCTATATTCTCTAACCACAACTAATGACTTCTATTTAAAAATTATTTGAAAACTAGATTTTGTGATACCAAGAATGGGAGACTCTCTATTAAGCAAGGAGTCAGACATCATGTGAAGAATTTTCTGTGCTGCTGCTCATGCTTTGGATTAGAGAGCAGTGCCCCACCCCCTCCAGAGACAATACCTGTAACTTTCAGTTTCTCAGCCCCAATGGTTATCTCATCTTCATCTGCAGAAAACAGCAGCCTGTCATCTTCACTTGTTCTCACTTCAAATCTTTTACACTGTGCCTCCACAGCCTCGGCTCCTGTAGTCAGAGGGGAGATTTGAAAATGAGGCTGGCACGCATAATTTAAAAAAACAAACCCTTTGCATATAATATTTTACAAACAGAAAAGGAATATACATGGTATTTAGTTTCTTCACTCCAGCTTCCTGTTTTACATTTGAATTAATGTTTTTACGATGAGATCCTTTGCAAAAGCCCCCTAATTTGATTAACTGGTCACATATATGATCTCTAAATGTTTAAGGATTTCGTTGTCTTTAGCTAGAAGAGGCAATATCTGATTTGATCTCTATTGGAGGCAGAAAACTTGTCATTCATTTCACCAGGTGCCCACTAGATGCCCAGTATACACATCACAACCGAATGACTCACATCTCTCAGCAGAACAGAATGCAGTACCCACACGTGCATTACACATATACTTTCACAGTTCCTGATGAGTACTAATAAATGGGAATCTAAGTTCCAGATAATAATACAATGCAAAATAATTTCTTTGATAGCAAGATAAATATTTTTCTTTCCTGTGTCCTTATATGAAGAAAATTTTTAAGTGTTCAGCTAGGCCAATGTTGCATGCAACAAAGTTGGTGCTCTTCCCTTGGACAGTTTGGTTATAAAAAGTATTAGTTGTATTTTAAAAATCCTTTGTTTTCTTTAAAATAAAAGACTTTCCTTACAGAATTCAATGATAATATTTGATAAACCAGTGAAACTGTAATACCCTGATCATAGTTTACCTTTCATTTGTAAATATTCTCAAAGGTTTTGTTCATTTGAATCTTTTCATCTAATTATTATCTAAGGTTCATATGTTTTATCTTCAGTCACTGAATCATAGTAACCAAACTTTTGTTTATAAGTTTGACTTCTGGATTTGGATACCTTTGTGTTTAAATTTCCTGAACAGACTCAGGCACATGTTAAACCTCAACTACTTGAAATATAGATATTTTTCACATAAAAAGTATAATGCTGTATTATCTATTTCCAAGACACTCAGTTACTTAGCTTAATGAATTCCCATATTATATTAGTAGCTTTAATGGCACAGAAGTGCAATATATCATTATACATATTCACACATAGGCATACCATATACAGATTAGCAAAATTTTTCTTGGAATACTGATTAATGTCTTCATATTGAAAGTGACTAGCAGAGATTTCATTGTGCTGAAGGGTGCTATGCATGATACTGGAAAAGTAATCATCAGTCCCACCCAGCTGTGAAACCTGAAAGCTACCGAATGACTGGCCTGGGAAGATACACCCATTGGTGCAATAGGGCATGAATGTTATGGGAATATCCAAACAGTTTATGATTGGATTTAAGGCCCATTTTATAGGATGGAGTCCATACCTGGCACTGTTATGGCAGACAAGAACCTATGTCTAGACAGGTCACAGGCCATGGGTGAGAGTCATTATTGTGCTGAATGGACATAGCATTAAAATGACCCATAATAAGTTACTTTTGTACTCATAGAAATAGATATGCACATCCCTTAGCTCACACCACAAAAACTTCTTGCAGCAGATGGCGATTACACAGAGAATCACAATTGATCAAAAAGCAGAGAATAAGAGATGTTGGGGTAATGGGACATCTACAGCACAACCTGTCTTCAAAAAGATTCAGGGATTATTATGGAAGAGGTGGTGGAAAGATTGTAAGAGCCAGAAGTGGTGATGAATGCTAGTAACTATGTTCTCTGGACACAGGGCAGGGAAGTTACATATATAAGCCTGCAGTACTTATGGCAGCATATATAAGACCTGCGAAGCCCAAACCAGAACAAATTCAGGCATGGAGGGGGATTTGGGCATGAATCCACATCCCTTTCTAAGAAGTTATTGGCAATTGAGAGCTGCTGGGAGGAGAGTCGATTTTCTTTAAGGGTATGGCACTGGGGAGGTTGACCACAATCCAAGGGATGGACCTACAACTAAGAGAAGTTGTGGAACACAAATTAGGCTCAGTAAGCCTTCGAGAATTAATAGGGGACATGAAGCAGAGGGAAGAGGAAGGTAGAGAGATGGGGTAGATCTGAGAAGAAGTGAAAGAGAGGAGTTTGAATATGGTCATAACATAACTTGAATCTTCTTAAAGATTCAATAATTATAGGAAAAGATGCTAAACTAGCAGTAAATATTAGACTGTGAGTCATAAAAAGTTATTATAAATAAGCTAATAGAAATATACTGTTATAAACACAAGTATTGTCTGGATATGGAAAGTGAGTTGAAATTTTTATTTATTATTATTTTTATTTTATGTATAGGAGTATAATGTCTGCATGTAGGTAGGTACACTAGTGTTGTGTAATGTCTGTGGAGATCAGAAGAGGGTGTCAGATTCCCTGGAACTGTAGCTACAGACAGTTGTTGGCCACCATATGACTGCTGGATAACAAACCCTGATCCTCTGCAAGAGCAGCCAGTGCTTTTAACCACTGAGCCATCTCACTAGCCTTGTAATTTGACATTTTAATTCATTAAATTTCAGTGAATAAAAATGAATAAGAAAATTGCACAATATTTATGCACCTAGAATGGATGAGTTGCATCTAAGTCATAGATGAATGCATGCAAATTTCATCCAATTGCAAAACAAATATAAAATTAATACTGCAAACTACTCTTCATTTACCTTATTAGCATACTTGCAGATTACAAAGTTGCAAGCAATTAGCAATTCCTTGATAGTAAATAAATGTTTAAGTCACAAAACAATTGTATACTATTGCATTTGTATTTAAAATACCGCATTTGCATTTATTGCTTTTCTACACTTGGAAAAATGTACCTTAAAAATCTACAGTTGGAGACCTAATAATCACTTGTTGGGAATATGTTTGCTTAACATTAATATAATTGGACTTCATGAAACTGAATTTAGTTATACTCTGTTGCCTGCCCTGAGTTTGCTTCAAGCATTACATGTTCTCTAGGCTAGGTCAATGCAAGTTCCAGTATTTGAGAAAAGCAATAACATCAAGTAGAAAAGATCCAGTAACTCAACTACTGTCTTTGCATTTTCTACATTCAATGGGTAAAATAGTTAAACTGGAATTTCTTTTAATAAGAACATCTAACGAAGCTCAAACAATACATTTGCAAGAGGTTTCCTAAGTTCTACTAAGGACTCATTCAAAGAAAACAAAGCAATGATCTAAGTGGTTATAACTGCTTGTCTCTGATAGGTCTTCCTTAATCATAATACAATGGATGGATTCTTACTTTCTTATAACTTTGTTCTTTAATTTTGTATGTATGTCAATATTTTCAGTGTCTTGAACAAGAGCATTACAAAGAGATTCGATGACCCTTTTGAAAAAAACAATTATGATATAAAATTTCCCCATTCTGAAATTTCTATTTTAGAACTACCATGAGCTACACAAATGAAATCTAACAATAATACAATATAAATGCTTTCATGAATATAGCTGTAAAAGCAAAAATCATAAACATCCAAATACACACCCCCACCCCACTATGTAAGGTAAGGATGCTAGACTTTATTTTGTTTTATACCACTAGGAGTACCTTTAAAAACCTTACATGTGAAAGTATCCTGGGAGTTCCTGTTGTAGGAAAGATGTTAGGAAATGAAGAAAACACCCCCAAACCAGACTTGGGTCTCCTCTGCATCTGGCTGAGAATTATTTGGTGTTTTCATTCCTCACAGGACCCTGTCAGAATTATGTGTACCCTTCCTTCCTACAGCCACTGACTAATGATGTAAGAGAACAGTGGCCCTTTGGCTTCTAGACCTAAGGCAGTGATGTGATTGCTTAGACTAAGAGAGATTAATTTTGTCCTTCTGTCTCTCTCTACTTGTGAAACTCTGAAAATATATGTCTAGACCAACATCTTGTATTCAGTTAGTTACTCTCTCCAAAAGACTTGTTTCTCAAGTGAGATGAATTCCACTACTCTTCACCATTTCTATCACTCTCTCCTCTACGGTTTCTACTACCACATCAATTTCTATCGTTCTTTAAAAAGTCACAATACAATAAAGAAAATACATATTTTTGGTTGAACCTCTGCTGAAAGAAATAGCTTTTATTAAGAACACTTGAAGTCTTTAGTGTTACTTTTTCTTAAGCATGTTTCTCAGTATCTTTAATAGTGAACAAAAAGTCTACAGAAATAATTTTATATCTAGTTTTCAATCAGATAATTTTACATGCATTAGTATATAGTTTAGATGCAGCTTATCCAGGTGTACAAATATTTTGTAATTTGTTTATTTGCCTTTGCTAATTTAAATTAAAATTAAAAGAATTAAAATTTCAACTGAAGGTGAAATGCGTACATATCACTCTCATCTTTCAATGTCTTTACTTATGCACGATTCAGTATATGTTTTCTTAGTTGCAATGTACAAACACATTTTCATTGTTTGTGTTAATTATATTTTAAATTTATTGCCTCTCTTCTCTCTCTCTCTCTCTTCTTTTCTCTCCCCCCCTTTCTGTGTTGGACATTAAACTCAGAGCCCTATACTTTCTAGGCAAACACTCTACCACTGAGCTCAACCTCAGTAACTTGGTTCCCCTCTCCCCCCGAGTTTAAGTTTATGTTGTTTGTGTGATTCACCTATTTCAGTATATGCACCGCTGGTCTTTCACTCTTTACTGCTAAGTTATTGTATTTTCATCTGTTTACATGACAGTTGGTAATCTGTCTTTAGCTTGCTTTTAAGATTTTGTAATTGGTACCAATGATTTATAGTACTTTTGAGCAGGTCTCCTTCTACATCTACCCTTAGACAAAAACATTATAGAGTTTATACTTAGGTATGGGGCTTCTGAAAAGAATGTATCTGGATTTCAAGCTTCCTAGATAATAACATGATGCTTTATAAACTGGATGTATATTCCCAACAGACAGTATGAGCATTCTGGTAACACCGTATCATCCAAGCATTGTATTAACAGACTAACTGTGCCAATTTGATGGGCAAAAGTAACACTATTACAGATAAAATTTATAAATGTTCCTTG